TATATATATATTATTTGTAGTCAAATTAAGATTCAAGGAGATCTTTCATATTATATGAAGGGATTAAAAGAAAATATTTTAATATATATTTTGTCATAGGTAGGTGTTAACATATTTCTTTACTAATTATTATTTTTCTTCAGACTTAAATATGTTTTTAGCATATCAAATTTAGAGTAAATTTATTTTTAATCTTTCAAATTTAAAATTTTCATTTTTAATCTCTGTAATTTTCAAAAAAAATTATTTTAATTCTTTAGGTTACCAATAAAATATCTGAAAGTGACAAAATGAGATAATTATGTACTATTAATTAGGTTTAATATGATATTTTTACTAAAAAAGCCATTATTTTTATCAATAATATTTAACAGATTCCTTAATAAAATTTAAATATAAAAACTAAAATAAGTTTTTCTTTTAAATTTCAAGAACTAAAAAAACTAGTTTTAAATTTGAGACACTAAAAATAAATGTATCTTAAATTTGAGGAACTAAAAAATATTTAAGCCTTTTATTTATTAACATCATTTTTGAATAATATTATTTATATTTTCTAGGAAGGTCCTTGACATTGAAAAGTTATGAAATATTTAAAAAAAAATGAGTATTCACTCAACAATTGGCCTAATTAATAATAAGGTTAAATCCAATTTTAATGTGACATCATCGTATTTGTAAACTTAGACACAAAATAATCTTTATAAATCCTATAAAAAAAAAAGATAAACTCTAAATCTAAAAACATGATTCATTCTCAAAAAAGAAATAATTAATAAATATAAAAAAAATGAAATAAATGGGATACAATCGAAGAAAATTGAATCTTTACAGTTTATTTTCTTTGAATGATACTTCCCAAATAAGCATCTCACATTTACAAGGCAAAAAAGGAACCGAACCACAATAATAATTAAAAAAACTAGTTCTTTACAATTAATCCATCCTACCACCAGATTAACACCAACTTCTTGTTATATTATTTCCTACTTTATGATTAACTCCAACTCTTTTTCTTCGAGGCTAGTTTTTTTTATGATAAGAATTTAAAATAAGAAAATGAAAACATGGGATACGTTTCCAAATTGACAAATCTAGTCAAAGCATACAATTGAAACTTTCAATGGGATCGGTTTCTTCAAGCATGGAAGCTGCCTGGAAGCAATCAGCAGCATCAACTATTCGACCATCATTTTTGTGAGTTAATCCCAAGTAATACCAAGCCATGCGATTTGTGGGTTCTATTCTAAGGGCATCAGAAAGTAAGCTTCTAGCAAAAGGTGAAGCTTCAAAACCCATTTTCATCATCAAAGAACTCATTAAGATCTTGCTTGGCACATAGTTTGGTTCAAATAGCACTGCATTAGCAGCAGTAATAAGAGCTTCTTGTTTTTCTCCACGACCGTCAAATATAATACCTGGTATAATAATGTTGGAAAATATAAAATGTGAATGATGAGGTACAACCATGAAACCAATTAATTCTTAGCTTATGTATACTACCACCTATTAGCATGGGGAAATTTAGTGTTTCATTCACTTAAAACTTGTTTGAATATAAGATAGAATTGTGTTTGAGAACTCTTCTATAAAAAATAAAGAGTATTTTTTAATAAAGAAATTTTAAAAATACTTATAAACTTGTATATTTAATTACACTTTTAATATCTAAACATACTCTTAATATAATAAACTCTTAAATGGATTGAATCCCTTGTTCTGTGACCCTCTTATATCTTAATTTGACTAAAACAAGAGGAAAAACACATGTTGACTATGCTAAAGTAGAAATTTTGACAAAATAAAGGTTCTGTTCTTGCCTTCAATGTGTATTGTTTCTACCGAGTATTCCTTCAACTCTCTAGCCTTTTGCAAGCATATTTCGCCATCCTTCCAATGAGAAAGACTTGCATATAAATTTGCCAAACCATGCCAAACTTCAAATTCATTTATTGTATAATCCTCAACCTACAAAGAGATAGTAAAATAAAAGATTACTCTTGGAATCAACAATTTTTACATGATGAGTCCCATGAAGCAACGAGCATCTCCCGGGAAAAACACCACTTTGATCTTCATCCTTGTTAAACAAAAACCTAATTTCTGGATGTTAGAGTATATATAATAATTCAAAATGTTTTAGAATATATTAAGACTTTAAGTATCTCTTGGACTAGTTTCATTGGCTTCTAATCCATTACCTTATAAGAATTTTTAGTAAAGATCGGGATAGCGCTTCATGTTTTTCAATCACTCAATAATATATGTCACATTTTATTATGATAATATCGATTTAGAGTATTAGTATCCCCTTTACTTTTCTTCTGTCAACATTATGTATTATGTTTGGATGGGTATTTTAGAAATTTTAAAGAATTTAAAATTTTTGAAATTTAAATTACTTTAATATTAATTTTTATCATTTATTAAATATTTTATTTTAATAAATCAATTAAATTTATTTAAATTTAAATTCTTAATTTAAATCTGGAAATCTAATTTTGCACAATTGATTTTTTAATATATATATATATATATTTTAAATGATTTGAAATATACAAAGAGTGGGCGAGAAAAGGGGAAAAGGAATAGAATGAGGAGAAAGAGAAAAGATAGAGGTTAGAGAGAGACAAATAGGTAAAAAAGGTAAACATGAAAAGAAAGATTGAGAAGAGAGAAAAGGGAAAGGGGGAGCGAGATAAGAGAGAACTAGAGATAAAAAAATATATAGTTGGACAAGAGAAAAAAAAATGTAAAAACTCAAATTCTTCCTGTTTTAAGAGAATTTAAATTTTACGCTTTAAATTTATTTACAAATACTTGAATTTAATTTTTCTTTTAATTTTTCTATTTAAATGAAGATATTTCACTCCGAAGTATTTCAAATTCATAAAAAAAAACTAATTACTCTTTTGAAATCCTAAATCCAAACAAATCGTAAAAGAAAAAGGAAGCAAACATTCTTTCTTTAATCTAAACAATGAAAATTAAAAACAACCACTATAAGAAACATAAAAGCACGAACGAATACATATTTAAAAAATAAATAAATTAAGTTACACTATTTTTCTATGTACTAAACTATAGAGACAACTGTGAAGAATTCAATTTTACATTATGTAGATAAAGCTTGCTAAGTAACAATAATTTCCTTTATAAACAAATTTTTCAATATTTTACACTTCTATTATATTTGTTTGCCATAAACTTCATGTTTATGTTTCTTCTAAAGGTATAAATATATGCTACTTTACCATTAAAATGGAGGAAACAACCATGCAACCAAAAAGGCATACATAATTGGAATCTTTTAGTTTTGAATTTAGAGGGAGAGAAATGGAGAGAGAATGTAGTTGCTTACCTAAAATTGATCAAGTGTGTTATTTTTATGCTTAACTTATGTAGAAAATTTATAGTCTTTTAATAGACTTAGTTGAAATTATTTCCTAGACAAATAGTAAATAGTGCCACTACCTACTGACTAATTCATATGAAAACTAAATGCATTTAACATGTGATACATAAACAACACATTATTCTAATTTAACATGTGAAGCATGAACTCATTAAACATGTATTGTAACAAAAGAGCATTGGATTAACAACAATATCAAAGACTCAATACATTATATATATATTCAAGTTACTAGGATAATGCCAAGACAAATCCATGACGACCATAAGATATAATTGAAATAATTTAATCATATTTCCATTACAATCTACCACACACATCAAAGATACATCATCACCATCATTATTTGATAAAAAAAAAAAAAAAAAAGAAGAAGTCCTTTTAACATAAAACTTCTGAGAAGGTTGCATAATGATACCTGCGAACCAAGTTTGAGAGGCCCAGATGATTTCTTCTGGGTTTGAACCAATGCAAGAAGGTAGCGATAAATTTCAATAGCATCCATGGGTCGTAATTGGGAGATCTTGAGCTTGGCTTTGAGCCTAAGTAGTGGCCCTTGCTCCCATTTTGCAGTCTCATCTAAAGCAGCATCAGTCACCACTTCAGCCTCGGAAAATCTTTTTTGTGCAGACAAAACAAGAGCAAGCAATCTCCAACCATTCAATTTAGAGCCACCAGTTTTGTCAAAGAACTGTTTGGCACATGATAATGCACACGTTAAATTTCGGTGCTCAGCATATTGAATAGCCAATTCAAATATTAGATCAGAATTGTTTTTCTCCATTCTCATTGCCTCCTCCAATGATTGTAGAGCTTTGGATTGAAGCAAAGACCTCTCGTAGTCAGAGCAAGAAACCTTAGCTTGCTTTCCCAGGCAAAGTCCCAACATTCGAAGACTCACACCTTTCAAATGCTCATCTAAGCCTTCAGCATTGTTGATTGCCCTCTGAGCATATCCTGCTCCCTCAGCAGCAACATAAGGGTCCTCACTACAAATCTTTGCAGCCAACAGCAACGATGTAAGGTCATTTGGTCGTTCATGTTTATGCAAAGACAACCTTAGCAAATTCAAAGCACTTTTGTTTTGTCCAGCTCCACTATGACATAGAGCTAAAAAATTCCAACGGTCAATGCGATGGTATACACCGGGTGTTAACTCTTCAAGTAGCTTTGCTAAAAGACAAGTTTGACCACATGCTGAAAGTGCAACTGTTAGGTGTTCCATAACTGAAGGGTCCCACTTTATCTTACTAAGGCTGAAGTTCCTCAAAAATATCATGAGAAGCAAAATTGCCTCTTCCAAGTTATTTTTAGGTATATAAGACCCATCAACCTGAACGGTTGAACTGGGTGGAGTTGCCTCCATCCCTGTGTACAACAAAAACACAGCAAGTGCCTTTTGAATTCTTGCACAACAATCATTATCAAGGTTCCATTGACTTAGAAGGCCATTCCTATAAGCAGACAGTGCCTCATCATAGCAACCAGCATGTTTCAACAGCTCTGGAAAGAGCTCTACTGTATGGCTGATTACATCTTGTATTTTATTGTCCACTTGTGAATCAACTATACCCTGACCATATATCTTCTCAACAACATCAAGAACTTGCTTGCATTCATTAGCAGCATCTGTATAAATCCATGAAACAAGCAATTCATTGCATTAATATCCCTTAGAATTTGGCTTTTGATCAAGCTAAATAGTGTAACGTAATTTATGTTGTAAATATAAAATGTTGAAGATCTAGAGGCAATGGGGGATTCAGAAAGAGAAGTAAGAAAAAGAAAACAAGGGGTAGAGAATAATAACTTTCAAAAGTGGAAACAATATTCAATACCGGTAAATTTGCCCAGTTTTTGTAGAGATTTGGCTTTTAAGTAAATGGCTTCAATCCCCAAACTAACAACTTGCTGGGATCCTGAGGAAGAACCTTTCTTAGCAGAAGTTTTTTCAGAAAGATAAGATTGAAGTTGTTGTATGGTTGCCTCAACATCAATCCCATCAAATACACGAAGAACGCCTTCAACATTGCCTCTCTGGTACTCTAACTTTACAAGAAGAGCCTTTGCTTCCTATTAAGGTTTAAAGTGACCAAGTAGCAGAACTCAAACATATGATTGATTTATCTCCAAAAATGCTTTGCCAAGGTATGTGACATCTTTATATTTAATGGCATATAAATTTAAAGATTGCATCAATTTTTCACATGTTATTTTTGTTTTGGCATTTTCTTTGGTTTCGAATCGAATTGCATGTAATGCATAATGTAAGTCATTTCCGTGTATGTAAATTATGTCCTTATGCATGTAATGTTCATGTTCAAGTATAATATTCATACTAATCACATGGAAAAAGAAAATTTAGCATCACAATAAAGTGTCATTTTGCGAGAAAAAGAATTCTTAGGTTTGACTCATTTTACAATAAATGAACTCCATAGTTGAACATTTTTTAAAAATGAAAAAAAAAGGTACAATTAGCTAGAGTAGTATTGCAATTTTTTCTTCGCAAGCACTTAATTACTATCTTGCTCATAGCTTATTCTCTGTACCCTAAGCAAACCTTGTTCTATCAAACAACAAATTTCAAGTAATATTTGAAATTTTTTCTTTTATGACAAAACCAATCACAAATCTCAGAGTGCCATCCTAACACCAAGGAAGACATTTTTCAACAATTATGATAATAATCTTCTATCCTTCAAGCAAAATTTAAGGAAAAAGGGAACCGAATAAATAAATAAAATAAATGCTAGACACTAAAGATAATAATATTAATTTGATTGAAGATTGCAAATTCAATCACATTTGATAAAACCATTCCAATATTTATCACTCTTAAGGTTCCACCAATTCAGAATGGCAATAGTAAGACACATAATGTCAGACAGAAAATTAGCTATGAGCCTATGATGGGAATAATAACAACAATCAAATATAGGTTTGGCACTTGTAAAAATGTAGAACATATAATTGACAAGCAAAAACAAACCTCAGAATTTATTGACAACCCTTCACGCAATGCAGTTTCTGCTTCTTGAATATTTCCTTCATCAAGCTTGGCCTCAACTTCTGTTGCTTTCATGCAAGTTCCACTCGTGCAAAACTCACGAATCTTCACACGCTCGTTCTGACCAGACTCCATCAATCATTTCCTCGCCACCTACACACATGCACACGCTTTAACCTTAATTTTCTTTTTGTTTCTCATTAGTTGCACGTAAATTATAGGAAGGGAAAAATGTCTTAGTTGGGAACAATGATTAAAGGAAAGAAAAATAGATCTAGAAAAGATGGAATGATAAGGAACAAGACCTTAGGCGTCCTCAAAACAATGTGGCTTAGAACAACGATCTCTGAAAATGTTTTGTTTGTTTGCTATTGAATTTGATTTTGTTGTTTTGCCTTTTGTTGCGAGAATTGTTTGATGCAATTTGGAGATCTTGCATATGAGTCAGTTTAATTAATGTTTTTTTTTTAACATTAATGCAAATAAAAAATACAAAAACAAAAGAATGAGAATGAGAATGAGGAATAGGTGGGGGCAGATCAACCACTACTCACAAATGAATTTTGACAATGCCATTTGGATTCGAGGATCAACGAAAAGAAAGAAAGTAGCAAAAGTTAAATATACTTCAAAATGTTAATACATTTAATTTTTAATATCTAAAAGTAATATATATATATATATATATATATAATATGTGTATATATATACAACAATCTCTGAAAATGCTTTGTTTTGTGCTTAATTTGATTTTTTTTTTCTTTTTGTCGCGAGAATTGTTTAATGCAGTTTGGAGATCTTGTAGATGAGTCAGTTTAATTAATGTTTTGTCTATTTTGACACTAACGCAAATAAAAAACACAAAAACAAAAGAATGAGAATGAGGGATAGGTTTGGGGTGGATCTACCGCTACTCACTAATGAATCATGGAAATGTCATTTGGATTCAGGGAACAATGAAAAGAAAGAAATTAAACAAAGTTAAATATACTTAAAAATGATAATACATTTAATTTTTAATATCTAAGAGTAATATATATATATA